ATTGGGGTACTCAATTTGGGTATGTTGATTGAACACATGAAGGACGCTTATCCCGACTTCCTCAACCCACACCCCCGAAGTCTCTGATCTTCAATCCTTTTATAAAGCGGCTAAGAAGCGGTATAGTCCGGACCTTTTGGGGTTACTTTAATAACATCTTTTAGTTTCGATGAGGAACCCGACTTCAAGAAACGTTCCCAAGAAGAAGTTGTCGCCCTTCAATCGGGTGATGAATACGCTCGGAAGGCTTGGCAGATTTGTTGTGATATTTCGAGGAAGAGTTTTGAGGAGGTAATAAAAGCCACTGAGAGGCCAACGCCTCGAGGCCGCCATCATCAGGTCTACAGCCGCCTCGGCATTGAAGGCTTGAAGGAGCAGGGGGAGAGCTTTTACAACGAAATGATCGGACCAATCGTTGAGAAGTTGGAAAAGGAGGGACTTGTGGTCGAATCAAACGGCGCCAAGTGCATCTTCACTGATGTTGATGATGTGAATATTATAATTGATAATTCGATTTGTTATTATTAGAATTATCAGGTGCCAATGATGGTAGTGAAGAGTGATGGAGGTTACGGCTATGATAGTACTGATGTGACGGCGGTGTGGTATCGATTAACTCAACTACACGCCGATGAAGTTGTTTATATTACCGACCTCGGACAAGAAGTTCATTTCAAGAAGCTCTTTGAAGTCGCCAAGATGGCCGGTTGGCATCATCCTCCTCAAACTAAACTCGAATACCTCGGCTTTGGTGTCGTCTGTGGTGATGATGGCAAAAAATTCAAAACTCGATCGGTGGGTCGTCGTCATCTCGACGGTTACTGTCATTGATTATTATAAATTCCCTTTAGGGCGCCACTGTGAAGTTGACTGACCTTCTCGATGAGGCCGAGGACAGGGCGAGGAAGGAATTGGAGTCGAGACTTAACGCGGGGGAAGGGGAGGCGGCCGGACGATCGACTGGACTTACTGAAGAGGAATTCGATAGAGCATCGAAGATTATTGGTGATGATGATGTGATGGAGGTGTGGTATC